GCATGTTTAACTTCGGAGTTCTCACAAGAACTCCTCCATTACACCCCAAAACGCGTCTTGTCAGTTAAGGTCGGTTTCTTACTTATGAACCATGGATCTCTCCCGTGCTTTGTCGATGTGGGATTTGCCTAAGGTGTTACATAACGTCTCTCGTGCGAAAAGGGTGAAAGTGTGTAAGGGGAGACGTGAATCCAGTCCCAATTTCCACCTACTACCTCCAGCCCCCTTACATTTCTTTCCCCCGCACGAGGCTCGAGACATCTGCCCCCGGCATGGCCGGTAAGAGCTGCCCCCGGCATGGCCGGTAAGAGCCGGGCTCCCTCAAAACCATTAATAGGTGGGAGCCCCATTTTCTGGAAATAACAGGTTGGGACCCTTGAAAAAGAAATAAACAACAAAACAAGAAAAAAGAAGAAGGGTTCCAACCATCTTCAAGAAGAAAATAGAGCACCTTAAAATGAAAGTGAGTCCATGATCTTTCTGTTTTTGAGAGTCCCTTCGTCCACGATTCATCTGTCCTTTGATCACTATTTCCCATGATGTCGACTCGAGACTAGAGTTCTCGCCGAAGAAACTAGGAGGTTTCTTGTGTGTCGGTTGACCTTGTAAGCTGTTAAATGATCTATAAAATCCTATACCGACGATCGGGAGTGCATGTTGCTATAGAGGTATGGAGAGCTACATTTTTTTTAGTCATGTTTGCTTGGGGACAAGCAAACGGTTAAGTGTGGGGGAATTTGATGACTTGATATATACACATGTTTTTTTCCACCATTCCTAATGTTTTAGGCAGATTTCACGCTAGATTGTTCTTGTTTGTGATATTTCAGGTCCTAGTACGTGAAGGAAGGTTTGGGCACAAGTTCGGGGTCGATTGGACGAAGTTGGGACGTTTGACGAAAAGCTGGAAATTCTACACGGGCATACCTAAGGGGTCGTTTGCTTAAAGGATTTTATAACGAGGGGTTTGTCATGGATTTGCTAATTAAAAACCTTGGGATTTATTAGGGATTTGGGGCATTATGGATTTGAGGAAATCTTTTGTTTGTTGAGCTATTTTTATCATGGATTTGATGGGTTTTCAGCTTGTCTCCAAATCTCAGGGTATGAGGTGGGATTCACAAATCCGTGGGGCCCACGGATTTGGAGCCCCAAATCAGTGGACCGCACGGATTTGGTACCCTCCATTTTGGCTCAACAAACAATGGCTTTTGGACAAATCCTTCATGTGTGGGATTTGAGAACCAAATCCCACATCCAAATCCTTGAAGCAAACAACCCCTAAATTCCACACGACCGTGTGATTTGGTCGTGTGGAACCCCTTTGCGTGGGCAAGCCACACTGGCCGTGTAAAGGGCCTTTTTTGGCCGTGTGGAATTCCCAGGGAGTTCACACGAGCATACCTAAATTCCACAAGGTCGTGTGGTTTTGGCCGTGTAGCGTACCTGGAGTCACTAAATCGAACGCAACGTTTTGGAGAGCCACACGGGCAGACCTAAATTTCACACGGCTGTGTGGCCTGGCCGTGTGATTGGGCAGAACTGGGTTTTTAACCCAATTTCGGGTATTTTGAAGGGGGGATCGATTTTCAGAGCTAGAAACAGAGTCCTAGAGAGATAAAGTGCGAAGAACACACCCTAGAGGTGATTTTGGAGCTGGGTTTCATCAATCAAGCTTGGATTTCATCCTTGGAGTGAATATTATCATCCCGGAGCAGATTCTTCCCATCATGATGAGTATGGCTGCTTTGTATTCTGTTTCCCTCTCTCTCTATGGAGTAGAACCCTCTCTCACTTGGGTATGAAGAACCCTAGTTCCATGTGTTAGGGATATCAATTGTAATGACGTTTGGATTGTGATACTGCTTGATTATAATCGATTGAAGTGTTTTGATTGATTCAATTGAAGCCTTATAATCTTTTATTGATTTCTGCTGCAACCTGAGATAGATAGAATCTGATTTGGTTGTTGGAGCTTCTCCAATCGGTAGTAGTGAATCGATTATACGAGAGTTAGTCGATTCACTGCTTTGTATTGGAATCCAATTCCAATAGTGGAGTTCTGTGTTAACTGCCTCAGCGTTCTATCCCGATGAAGACTAGTCGTCTGTCCGGTAGTCTGTCTGAGAGGGCTTGGTCAGCTTAAGAGATTCCAAACTACTGTCGGATCTTTCGTAGTTTAATCAACAGTAAATCAACCAAAGATAATTACAACTTTGACCTAACTAAGAAGCTAGGGGGACTCATTCCCGAGTGACTCTTCCCCTGCTTAAGAACTTCGAACCATTTCCTGCTTTTTTACTGTTTTAGCTTAAAATCACATTCACTCAACTTAGTCTGCTAGATAATAGATAATCACGGAGTAGGCAGTAGATCTAGACCCCGGGTTGATAAATATAACTTACCACTATTCTGCATTTCCGGACTGCGATTACACTTGGAATCCACCAAACTCTCATTCAAGAGTAAATACTCAAGAACCAAAGGGTTTTTGTATTCATCAAAGTCTGCCTTCCCATAGGCAATTCCTCCTCTATTTATAGAGGTTACAAAACAATGTATCTACGCTTATTTAAAACTTAATAATCCTCTCTATCAAATAAGGAATGCAAATACCAAAAGGGAAAGGAAATAAATCAATGGTCCGTGCAAAAGGAGAAGGAAATAAAGCAATGATCCGCCCAAAAGGGAAAAGAAATGAAGAAAGAATCTGCCATGAATCCTCCCAAAAGCAATGACTTAGTCCTTAAGTAATTTCTTTATTCCATCTGTCGAGTCCGGCTGGGGAATCACATTAGTCCGTCCCCGTTGAAGAAGCTTTGCCCTCAAAGCTTTCCAACCTTGCTTCCAAACGAAATTCTCTAGAACCCTCCATTCAGGTTCACCGTCTTCTTGTCTCTTCTTCCCATACTTCCAGTGATAGAAAAGACAATCATCCACTGAAAGATGAACGTTACGCCCCTGCTCCTCTCCATAAAAGCCTCGAACCCCTTCTGCTAGCTCGACAATCTTCATGCCTTGTTTCGCAGCGACGATCCTCAAAGCTTGTGAAATTCTACAAGAAAGATCATCATGAAAATTATCGCAATAAACCATCTTCTCCTTTTCCACCGTGACCAGCTCGTAGGAATCTCCATCTTCCTTTTGCAGTTCTGGACAGTTGTTCGAAGATTTCTCTGCTACCAGATTCGTCTCATCCTCCTCATAACTCAAACTCTGCTGCTCCTCCTCAATATCGCGGACGGTCGTTGCTTGAACTAGGACAACCAACGTCTTCTGCATATCCTTCCAAAGATCGGTGTCGACTAGTTTCTTTGTGCCTTCGACAAACTCATTCATGTCCGCCACATACTTTGGATCAATCATGGCTTGAAGCATATCTTGTGATCTTCTTTTCCTTGTCACTCAAATTGTCACTGAGTTTGAATCAGGCTCTAATACCACCTGATGCAAGCGGAATTCGGGAATCCAAACTCGCTCACGAATCAGAATATGTAGCTCTCACTTTTTAGGGTTTTTTCGAGATTTTCTCAAGAACACAAAAATAAAAGGATAGGATGGAAATGGATTGTCGTGCAACTTCAACACACGGGAAGAGGCTCGAACAATATCAGGGTAGATGCCCGACCACGATCAAGGAGAATACTTGATCGATACAGAGCTCAACGAGTTTGGAATCCACCAAACTCTCATTCAAGAGTAAATACTCAAGAACCAATGGGGTTTTCTATTCATCAAAGTCATCCTTCCCATATGCAATTCCTCCTTTATTTATAGAGGTTACAAAACAATGTATCTACGCTATTTAGAGCTTAATAATCCTCTCTATCAAATAAGGAATGCAAATACCAAAAGGGAAAGGAAATAAATCAATGACCCGTGCAAAAGGAGAAGGAAATAAAACAATGATCCGCCCAAAAGGGAAAAGAAATGAAGAAAGAATCTGTCATGAATCCTCCCAAAACAATGACTTAGTTCTCAAATAATTCTTTTATTCTTTCTGTCGAGTCCGGCTAGGGAATCACATCACTCCATCTCATCAAAATAGGGCATGGCCTGTAAATTGGGTGGAATTAACGCTGAAACAGACTTTTTCTACATTTTTGTCTCCTTAGGAGGGTTTAAATAAAGTCAGATTAGATGTTTAGAGTTGTTAAAACAAAGCTTTTACAGGTATTTGTCTGGTGGAGGAAGTTAGGGTTAGAAATTGAAATTGAAAATAGGGGTATAAACATTAATGTAGTATGATTTATGGCGAATTTTTTTTAAATTTTATAGCGACGAATATCGATTCAGGTCATTGACATGATCGATTGTTGGCTTTCTTCCTAGCACGGTGACAGGCGGCATTATGGATGGAGGGAGACAATGGCCTCTTACAGCCTGTTTGGATAGAATTCCAAAGGAATTAGAAATAGAATTTCATTTCCATTTCTAATATTTTTGGAATTCCAATTCAAATTCTTGTGTTTGGTACAATTCCATCAATATAGGAAATGAATTATATTTTTTTGTGCAAGTTATATTTATAAGTATAAGTTATGAGTTGTGGGTCCCATAAAGTTCCTGCTTGAGAGAGAAATGAAACGAAATTGCAAGCTTTTTGGGACTTAAACATCATTAAAGCAGTGGGTCCCATAAATTCCTATGCTTTTGTGGGCAAGTCCGATCAATTTCAGTCGGATTTCAATTTCCAGATTTTTGGCAGAAATGATTTCCACTTCCAACTAAATTTACCATCCAAACATAAGAATTGATTTAAAAGTAGGAAATGGAATTCCATTTCTCATAAATTTTATGGTTCCAAACAGGCTAGAGAGAGAGAGTGTATTGTGGCGCGGAAGGATGTGTCTGAAATAAATAGAAAGTATGAATGGTAACTGGTTAAGGTTTCCAAAAATAAGGCCAAAACTGTAAGACACATATATCAACGAGGACTTAAACCGTAAATCTCCATTTCAATATAAATAAAACGAGCAGAGCTCGAGTAGGAACAGACGGCGGGAGAAGAGAAGAGAGTACGAAGGCCGTAAGCCCATAACCCTAGAGAGGTTTTAGCAGCCGCTGGAAGCTTTCGAAGCCGAGGAGAGAAAGATAGCCGCCACAGAACCGCTGACTATTACCTCCGCCGCGAAATCATGCCGAAGTCCAAGCGCAACCGTGCAGGTCTGTCTCCTCCTCCCATCTGCGAGAAAATTTTGAATTGGGTAATTTTTTTTTGCGATCTTTGGTTTTCATTTTCTGCCGCTTGTTAAAAAAAATGTAGTTACCCTTTCGAAGACGAAGAAGAAGGGGAGAGAACACAAAGAAGGGGTTGTGAATGGAATAAGGGAAGCAGTGGAGAAGTACCCTTCTGTGTACGTGTTTGGTTATGAGAACATGAGGAATCTCAAGTTCAAGGAATTCAGAGACCAGCTCAAGTCCAGCAGCAGGTAAAGACTGTTTTTTGCTTTTGTTTGAATCCTATTTGTGTGTGGATTTTGTTTGTTGGTTGTTATTGTGCTCTGTTTGTGGTGGGAAGCGAAAGTTTAATGATGATTGGTGATGATAAATCCTGGGACTTGTACTTTAATCTGGATGTCGCAGAAAAGTTCTATACTTTATTGCATTTGGAATGGAAGGGAGCAAGTTTTGAGTTCATTCGGGTGCTTGTTTCGATACTCATTGTTGTAGTTGGCTCTTTTTGGGCATGGTTTCGCTTACCGGATTATTTTCATGGTGTTATTTGAACAGATTCTTCCTTGGGTCAAACAAAGTGATGCAGGTTGCTCTTGGTCGATCTGCTGCGGATGAGCTTAGACCGGGGATCCGCAAAGTGTCCAAGGTGTGCGTTTAGCCGTTACCAAACAGACTGTATTTTTTGTTTATGGTTGAGATACCAAGTGAAAAAGAGCTAATTGCTCCATGCAGCGATTTGTTATTAAGTAGTGTATATCTTTCTTGTCGCAGCTTCTGCGCGGAGATTCTGGTCTGTTAGCTACCAACTTGCCCAAAGAAGAAGTTGAAAGGTATAGATCTCTATTTATGAATTCAGAGTGTGCTCGTTCACTTGCAACTTATCTGCAATAATGAGTCTATCATGAGAATCGCAGACCTTGATTTAATGGAAAGTTTAATACTACTTTAGAATGTTCAAAGAATCCTATGTCATGTCTCAGAGTTTGTTTTCAAGATTATATCCAGTTGCATGAATCATGATATTTTAGGGATCACTGTACGTAGCTTGCTGTAATGAACATTAGTTCGTCATTTGACTCCAGTACTTGATGTAGTTTGGTTTGGTCAGTTATAAATCCAGGCCTGAGTACATCAGTTAGTCATACTCTCACTTAATCGAGTCAAAAGTAGACATCCTTGGTTCTCATTGCTGCTTTGTCTTGCAGCTTATTCCGTGAATATGAAGATTATGACTTTGCAAGGACCGGTAGTGATGCCACTGAAAAGGTCAGTTAGCATGTTGATTTAGTTTCCCATGTCCCTAGCCTTAATCTCTGATTGAGTGTTGTAAACTTGTAATGCATTTATTCGAATATCCCTTGTGCTTACCTCATTTGCTAAATTTTCTGTTTCTTCAATGATTTCCATATTTAACACAAAGTTTGATTGTTTCAGGTAGAACTGAAAGAAGGACCTCTGGAGCAATTTACTCATGAAATGGAGCCTTTTCTGCGTAAACAAGGGCTGCCTGTCCGATTGAACAAAGGTCCTTACTCCTTAGTAATATTTGTTTGCTGTCGGCCTGATAGTTCATTATATGTGGTAGTAATGTGAACTTCCTCATATGAAATTATCCATATGGACTGCAGGTGTTGTGGAACTTATTTCAGATTTCGTTGTCTGTGAAGAAGGAAAGCCTTTGTCACCTGAATCAGCACGGATACTGGTTAGTTATAGTCCTTTAGTCTGTCTCACATATCTATGCTGTTTCGTACTAGTTTTCCCCTGCAATTGGAACTTGGAAAGCTTGTCACTTTAAAGTTCCAGCACATAAGGTCTCTATGATGTTGTTATCTGTGAATGGTTATTAAATAGCCCTTCATGAATCTGAAGCATTATGAGTATCAAGATATAAAGCGTTACATTTCTTTGTTCAAGATGCATTTCTGATTAGTAGTTCATATGTTGATTCTTCTCGTATCAATTAAAGTGGACTGAATGAACTTTCATCATCTTCTATGCAGAGATTATTGGGCATCAAGATGGCTACCTTCAAGCTTCACTTAATCTGCAGATGGAGCTCTGATGATTTTGAGCTGTATAAAGAGGGACTCGATGACGCTTCCGACATTGAATCTGCATGATTTATGCCTTTTGTAGGGTGGTTAAATGTTGTAACCTTGTCAAATCTCATGGGACTGCACCAAGTGGATGTGTAATAGAAGTTCCATCTAAAACTCTTGTTTTGAACTCAGAAGTAATGCTTATAGACTAGCAGCGTTACTTTCAGTTTTGCCTCGTTATAGTTTTATTCTTGAATGCCAAGCTTGAAGGTTTCCCGTTTATGTGGAATGAAAATTGAGTCCGATGCTTCCTTTGACTCGGTTTTGCTTCAATGTGATACAAAATGGATCGCCAAGCTGCGTTTTTGTAGGCTTGTGGGTGATCCTGCTTTGTTTGGCAGAGGGCCAAAAAAGCATTATTTGGTGCCTTATTATCCCCATTTATAGTTTTATTTGTAGTGACATGGCAATCCCAATAATGAATATTTACCAAAACCGAAAAACAAAAGGGCAATTGACAGCAATCGCCTAAAAGGATTTGGAAAATGGAATCCAAACAACAATGAAAAAAACTCTTTCCAGTTCCATGACAATGGAGAAAAAGATCAATTTATCCAATCAATCATGCCAGTGTAGGATACAAGAGAAACCCCCCTGTGAATTATCCTACTACCCCCATGTAAAGAAGAAGAAAAAAAAACCCCCCTGATCACTTGGATAATTTGCTCTTCATCCTTCGTTTGTTTTTCAGACATGTAAAACTCGGGTGTATCTTACATACAGCTACTTGAAACACAAGGAAATACTAATATTTCTAGCAAAAACATACCTCCATTCTCATTTCCTCTTCCTGCCTACCACCTCTCATGGAGGTGTCATTTTGGAATGGATGGATAGAGATTCAAAATATCTTACTTTTCTGCCCTCTTCATTGTAGCTCTTCTTATGCTTGAAGAACCTGGCAGTGAACAATGTGACTCCTCAGGCGATTCCTTCCGGCAAGGCTCGACCAAAGATTCGAGACCAAAGTCTTGAACTGCCCTCTACCCGAAAGAGTCTCCCACAAATGTTCAGCGGGAGCTTCCCCAAGATCTTCAGATTTCGAAACGTCGACAACTGATATACTCATGTTGTTTCTAATGATGCACAGCTTCCCGTTCAGCGGAACAAGAGCAGCTGCTTCCAAAGCGCAAGAATTCCCCAGGTGCAACTTGCTATCGATATGCTTGCTCCACGAATCAGTCTCTTCGTCATAAACCCTAAGCTTGCAGCCATCCTTGCAGTCTAACGCATAGAGGTTTCCGTTCAAAGAAGCACTTGGGTTTCTCCACCCTGCCACCATGCCATCATAAACAGGATACCAGCTATCAGTTCCGGGCTGGTAGACTTCACTCAAAACTTGTCTGTGAGTCCCGAGTCCTTTAAGATACCACTTGCCCTCATAAACTACCCCAATGAATGGCACCATTGCTGTACTCATATCAGAAATCAGTGACCATCTGTTCTTATTGGGATCATAAACCTCAGCTGATCTCAATGGACGGTGAACACCCTCATTCTCCCCACCTGCTACATACAAACAGTTGTTTATAACACACGAGCCAAAGAAATGCCTTCTTCTGAGCATGTCGGGTGCACGGTGCCACTTATTAGTTCTGGCACTGTAAAAGATGACCCGTCTCATTGATCCCTTCAAAGGGTCTTTACCACCAAACAAGTAGAGATTACAGCCACTAAGAACAGCTGAACCAAAACCTAGGGCTTCAGAGTATTCCTTGGGGACAGGTGGAAGTGGCTGCCATAGCTGATATATGGGATCAAAAGCATGCCAAGAAATTTTCCCATCTCGGTCTCTCTTGATCACGTATACCCATTCCTCAGAGATCCCGAGATTCTTTCGAAGCGAGTAGAAGAAGTTTCCAGATAAGAGACGGTACCATCTCTTGCATACGAGTCGAAGCTTTCGATGCTCGGCCCTAGGTACTCGGATTAAGCATGCGATGGCGAGATCATCAGGGAGTCCTGGCAGCAATGGGGATTGATTTCGGTTTCTATCGCCTCTTGAGGGTTTGTGTCTAGTTGGATGAATTGATGGTCTGATGTCTGGCTGAAGACATAGCTTGCTACCTGGGACGTACTTTTTCGCACCTGCCACCGTTTTGAGTCCTGCATCTACTCTACATAAGCAAGCTGTTGTGTCAACCTGCGGAAATTACATTGATACCAATATATGAAATTCGTCAGTTAAGCTTTATATGGTATAGAGGATGTTACAATTAGGAGGGAAGAACAAGCTGCATGATTTCATCAGATTGGTGAGTTAGTCCTCAGCAATTGATTAGCATCTCTAATTCTCCACAAAGGTGTCATATAAAGTCAAACAAATACAAAATGATTCCTTTTCCCATTGAAAGAATTTCCCTTTGAGATCTCAAACTGAAGATCAAACCCCAAAATCCTAACACAAGAAATGCTCAACTGAAGTCATTTGCATACAGGATGAGCTGCTGCGCATCAAAAGACCTTAGCATCCCCCACTAAATACATTCCAAAAGGAAGGGTAAACAAAAGGGGAACAGCCTAAGATTAGAACTTGTTAAAACCAGTGAGTATGCTGAAAAACAAAGGGCTTAGAATGAGACTTACCAAAGGAGGCTGGTTCATTCTCTCCGCATCTCTCATCCTCCAAGGATCCGCCATGGCCAGATTTAACTTATGTCACTACAGAAGTTCACTCCTTTCAAAATCAGAAGGGCACAATCTAAATCATGACGCCCCTCACTCACTGCTGTTAAAAACACAGAATTCAGAGGAATCTAAAATGCATGAATGATGAAAGCAAACTCTGACCAACTCTTGGAACTCGCTTTCAATCTACACCATACCAGCCCTTCCTTCTCTCTCACACCAAATCAAAAAAAGACCCCAAATTCACCTCCAACCAACTGTCACAAACTCGGAACCAGCTCCAAAAGTGACACTTTGAGGTGCTATCGAAGCAAACCCAGCTCCATTCCAACATCAAAATCAAAACCCATCTCGCAAATTCAGAGAATTGACCGCAGGAAGCGAAGGGGAGAAAGGGAAGCGAGAAAAAAGACTCCGACTTTATCTTCTGGGGAGACAACCCAAATGCGAGACAGCAAGAAGAATTAAGAGCAGAGGCAAGTCGTAGGGCAAGAGCATTTGAGAAACAGGAAAACAGATGGAGACCCTTCTTTCTCCATTACTTTTTTCCACCATTAAAACACCCCCCAAGTTTGTCAAAATGAACCGGCCCCGACCAGAAGGTCCGACCCAGACGCCATAGAGGTTCGAATTTCTAGAAAACCAAAGACTAAACTAATCGAACATTCGGAAAAGGTACCAAAAAAAAAAAGCGGTGGCTTTGACCACCGCGGTGCCGCTCGCCGGCAGGGAAAAAAAGATCCCACGGCGGCAGGTGGAAGAACTGAAGAAGGGAGCTACGATGGATGGAAAGATTGGATTAGGAGTGGAGACTGAGAGAGGGTTTGGGTAATTATTAGGTGAGAGTTGAGACAAAGGAGGAAGGAAGGAGATCATGGAGGGACGGTGGAGAGAGAAAATGAAGGATTTTCGTTTTTCGTTGCGAATTATGATAAGAGACCATTTTTAATTTTTATCTCCCCCTTTTGTTGTCGTGCATAATACTTTGAAAATTTATTTTGTAAGAAATTGGGAATACTGAATATTAATAGCTTGGGTCCCCATTGTGATTAATGTGTAACACCATGTGAAAACCTAACACCTAACTAATTTTGTGTACTATATTTGTTTGAGTTGGTCTATATAAAGAAAGGAGTTAAGGTTTTGGAATGGGAGACTTTGAGGTAAATAAAAAATGTAAATCAACGAGACAAGCGACACTGAGTTATAAAAGTTTGCGATAATAGAAAATTCTATACATAAAATGGGAGATGCCATAAAAATTTGGAGCTATGTAGACGGTGAAATTTTCAACCATTCAATTTCGTGATTCAATCAACTTATGAGTCGTGATAACATAGCAAAAAGATGGAGATTATATTAATAGATTGAAAGAGTTTGATCATCAAATCGATCCAATAGTACATTGAAATGATCAAGAAGCCGACATTGCATGAATAAATAAGAGGCCGTCTTATTTGATGCACACAAATTAAACCCCTAACTCCCATGTCATTGAGACAACCACATCTCGGGCATGAACTTAGGGGGACTACAAATAGTCACTCGACCTATCCTACCAACTAGGCTAGTTAACAAAAGAACCATTGTAATGGTTTTCGAGTTATCGATCACTCGACAAGCCTTACGTTGTGACAATGTTATTATGATTGTATACTTTGGGAAACAAACATGTTATTGCGGATCGTGGTCCATTCTGCCTGAAGATTTCGTCGAAATGTTGAGTCAATGAGTGAACCACACCAGAAGGCATAGTGTGGGAAGAATCTCGTATAAAAAGCACTCTTCTTTACTAGTACTATCCAACCTGTTGATATGACTTGAATTAATTGGATAATTTGTGGTCGACTAGCTGTTACATGGATCTCGCTGTGCATGGGCTTATACACGTTTGGATTTCTGTTCTGGACCTGGTCTATAACATTATTATTTACCATTAGATTAGGGTTAGGTCGATTGGAGAAGTACTATATTTACGTCTCATATCCCTCTGTAATATGTAATCTCCTCACGTATGATGAACCTTACTCTCTCCCGCTCGTGGAATAACTAAGACATTCTGTTAGTGAACCACGTAAATCTATGTATTTTTTACCATTTTACTATAATTATCTTTATTACACTGTGGATTATCCCGATTTGTTCTTGATACAACCAAATACTTGGGTTTTTTCAAATTTCTACCAATCAAACCACTTGGGATTGTGAAGAGAAAGGACAGCCATAGCAAACCTAAACCATTGCTTTTCATTTTTCTATGTGGGAGGAAAAGGTCGAAAAAAGTACAATTAACAAATCCACGATAACAATAAGACGTGAGATTGGCAGATAGCTATTTGTTCTCTTCCACCTCACAAAATCACCCTCTGTTTTCCTATGGGACCAAAAGTAGTGAACCAAAGAGAGTCAAACACTCCCTCTGCCCTATATAAAAAAAGTAAAAAATCAAAATAAAAAAGAGAGTAAAATAATAAAATTTCCCATTGGAAAAAGAGAAGACAAAGATTCATAAAGATTTATTTTTCTTGCCCCACCACTTCACACCCCACTAAATTTGTGCATGGAACAGGTTTTGATAACCTGTGTGTTGGTCCACTGTAGCATGGATGCTCTTCCACTTGTCGGGATCTTTGATGAACTGGCGGTGGCCGGCGGGACCCGACCGCCGGCTGACGTGTAGGCATTTTGTGGAGTGAGTGAGTTGGATGATTGATACACCTTGGCTACCTAAGCTCGTTTGTCTTCTAAACTATACTCTATCAAATACTAATTAATCTTCTTTGTTTCTTTGATATCGCTAGATCAATAACAAGTTGGGTTTTAATGTTATATGATTAAGAATTAAGGTTAGTTCTATTCAACAATCGATAAAATCTGTTTGTTAAATCTATCTTTCTTCTCCTTTGCTTTGCTTTTGAAATACTATTTTTTATTACACACATAACTACTTATTCTTTTTGTACTTGTTAGGGTCGATGTGCACAAAGTTTTTAAGTTAATTAATTATTGATGTCCACAGTAAACCAGTCTTCACAAAACTCTGCCAGCTGACATTTTATTATTTTTTGCTGCAGAGAGATTTGGATTTTACCTATAAAACAAAGCCAGACAAAACTAAAGGATTGTAATTTCTCATTAATAAACTGTAACAAGCATTACTAATTAGGGAGTAGGGAGTAGGGACTATAGTAGTGTGACCATTCTTACTAAAACAAGGCTCAATTTATATTGAGAATTTATGTACATTCATCATTACTAATCCGGGGACGACGGTTATTAATCATGTGCATTGTCTTTACCAGCAATAAGGGATCAATCATTACTCACTAAGCATGGGATTCATCACTAACGAGGTTCTCAATCACGAAGGTCTGGATCGACAACTGCGACAAATCTGCATGACGACGAACTACAATTATCTATCATGATCACTAGATACTGTTTGTTTCGCTCGAGATTTATGATCCTCTCCGAGAGGATAGGGCACGACGATGTTTGTTGGGAGAACGATCGATGATGTTGTAGGAATGAATGGACTCATTTAGGTCTTTTGCATATCTTTGTGATACACATTCTACATGTTGTGATGCACTCAATATGGATTCGGCGGAATAATCATGCATATTTTCTTGACTTGAGCTAGTATCGACTAGTGTCATCGAGCATGCATATGATCGAAGATTGAGAGCAATATAGGATACGAGAATATAGATTGGATTAGATTGAGTGTCTAGAACACATAATTATTTGTAGATATATTCTCTGTCTACTTTCTTGTCTAAATAACACATATATTGTCATTAAAAAAAGAAACAATTAATGACTTCATCTCCTAAATGTTAATTTTTCAAGGATTGAAATACCGTACTGGAGGTCGTACCGAAAAAGTCAGCGGTAGGGTATTTTATGCTAAAATCATGGTTTAACTATGGTTCAACCATATTATACTGCTAAATACCGCCTACTGGTTTTGCTTCTGATAAAAGGTTTTTCAGGTCGAATCACCGGTACGGTATGGTATTTTAATCATTGAATTTTTGCACAAAATATGGTGAGGAAAAGTTACGATCTTTTGTAGTTAGAGCAATGAAGAAGGATGAGCCGATGAGGAGGTGGCGATTTGGGTTGACTGAAATGTTACCAAAATATTCAAATCAATTGAAACCTATTGGTTCAACGTTGGGACTGAAAGGGAAGTTTGGTATTAGATAACCCTCGTAGACAATAAAGACTTAGTTAGAAAGGGATGTCGATCCCAGCATTTGAACTACTAGGTGACGATTTGTATGCGAATAAGAGTTTGATCTAGTTATAATATCGCTAGTTTTGAACCTAAAGGTTTTAAATTCGAATTCCTAATCGAATTTTTTGGGTGAAGGGTTGCCTCGCCATACGTTCCCGCTCTTTCTGAAGAAATTGCTGGCTGCGGTGCATGACCCTGCTTTGGTGATGTCTATAGTGGCTGTGCTGTGGCGGATTTGACGCTCCCGTAACTGGGTCGTCTTTGAAGGCAAACAGTACATGATCCCTGTCTTGATGCGGCAAGTCCATCAACAAGTCCAAGAATGGCTTAGTTTACCTCGGGACCAGAATGAGCAGCTTGCGCGACTCCCGGCACCTTCCTTAACCTTGGATGGAGCTACAACAGCTATTTGTATGTGGGATGGGGCTGTGCGGGTGGGTTCTCATGCGGCGGGGGGATGATTATCCTCAATCCCGATAGAGAGGTCATCCTTGCGAAGGGGGTTCAGTTCCCGGTCCTTGATAATCCAATGATGGTGGAAGCTCTGGTCTCCGGGAGGCGATTGGTTGGTGTGTGGCTAATGGATTCACTGACATGAGGTTCGAAGGTGATGCCCAGATTTTAATTGAGAAGATTCTTCGGAAAGACGTTCGGGATAATCATATAGGGGCAATTCTGGTGGAGATAGTCAATTTATTTGCTTCCAATGTAGGTTTCACTGTTCGATTTGTAGGTCGACGAAATAATAGGGTAGCTCATTTGGTAGCTAGACAGACCCTGTCCTTGTTCCCGACTACTTGTCGCTTGTTTGATTTTCGGGCTTGGCTGTATTCCAGGATGTAATGATCTATGGGTTTAATCTAATGATTATCTTTTGTCAAAAAAAAAAAAAATTTTGAATTATGAGAATTTAAAAGTTTGAATAATGAGCTGTGGGTTTTACTTTTCTTGCCCTTTGAATGATGAAACCATAAGGGATATTAGCTATAAATGATAAGGGTTGTTATCAATGTGTAACATTCATTAAGAAACCAAATCAATATTATATCATAAGTCGTTTATCTGCTTCCAAATTACGACATTGAAAAAATTCATTCAAAATTTGATGATTGCATGCTGATCCCATGCAGTATGAATGAAGTTGACAATTTTCTTTTAGGTTCATTGAAATACGCCCTCATGAGATACATATTTTAGAAAATGAGCCGTAAAAAGAATGATGTGAGCTAAATTGCGAGAGAAAAAGGAAATTACACGCGATGTAAATACGAAGGTGTTGTAGCCAAGTGGTATCAATTCATGCTAGAGTTGTAACTCTCGAAGTGTTGGATACTTGGATTCAAATTCCTCTAAAACTCTGGTTTCCCCCCTCTCCTTCAATGTTGTATTAATATTTAGCTATGGCTCATACAAAAAATATTAACGTGTTAACCCAGCATGAAGAAATTCCGAATTAAGTTACTTATTCATAATTATAATGCACAAATATATTCTGTATAAGAAAACTACTGTATTTGAAAAAAGAACGTCATTAACCCTTTCGCCAATATCTGAGCATAATTTTGTCAATTCAATAAATTTTGCATCCTAGTCGTGTTGAGATTATACGTAAAAAACACGCCGCTCTACCTAAATTCATCGGTACTTCTAAAATAATCCTAACGTTTGGAGTTTATAAATGCAAAGGAAAATGTAACACCCACTTCCCACCAAATTACTCAACTCAAGAACAGTTGTTGTTGAATGTGGAATATAAGAGATGGAGTTTGGTGAGGGCTACTATGTGTGTTGTTTGGTGATCTTTCAAAGTGGAAATCCACCCAAAAAAGAACTGTCCCCCAACTCAGTCTGAAAGCATCAAAACCCAATTAACAACTTCTATGGCTGCCATAGCCTCTCTGCAAAGAAAAGTATCCCAACAGGATCTAAGTGTCATCATCATCAACTCCTACGCGTAGAAATGTATGAAGCAGTCAACTAATTGCCCACTGTTCCATTTCTTAACTAATAAGAACTACAACCTTCTCATGAGAAATGGAAAAATAGTCACGAAGCCTTCTCCACGAGGTTACTCGTTGGAGATAGCAATATATGGACTAATTTTTGGCAATATCCGCATGTTCTTATGTGCTCAACCTTTTCCTCCCTTATTTTTTTTCGTCAAGTGGAGTTGATGAAGTTGTCCATTCCATGGAAAGCGTGTGGTACTATCTTGAGAGTTAAACGATCTTGCCTCACCTTGCTTGTTTAGTCTCTGCTGCTGTCATTGCTGCCTGAAACTCGAACGAGCTTAGACGATCATCAATTGAAGCGAGGATGGTAGAAACTTAAGTAGAAAAGAGCTCAGAGATGACAGAAGAGGCAAGAAGGCCAAAGAAACATCAAAGGCTGCAGATTTGTAATGAATTGGATGAACCCAGATGGGATTATACGCTTTTAGAACGAAAATGAGGTTGTGAACACTCAATTTCATGCCTATAGCATGAAAAGGTGTTGTGTGCTCAGCTTTTTCTTGCAGTTCTTTTGCCAAGTGGAGTTGATGAAGAGTCCATTTCATGCCAAACATGGTTTATGAGAGAGTTCAATGATCTCATATGACCTGGTTTGTTTAATATCTAGTCTCTGCTGCTGTATTGCAACCTGGATATGGTTCAGCTGAAATCTAGAAAGTGGTAGGCTGGATCTCGAACAAGCTTAAACGATCATCAATGAAAGGGATCATAGAAACTAAGTAAGAAAAGGGATCACAGAAGGTCGAAACATCAAAGCCTGCAGCTTTGTGATGTTATGGAAACAGGATGAATCCAGATGAGACTATACGAGTTACGACAAGAAAATATTATGAACACCAAATTTAGTCACTATTGGAACTGTACTGGCCCCTTCTCATTCAAATTCTAAAGAGCAATCAAAAAACAAGGGCGAGATGGAATTCAGTCACAAAACTTATCACAATACAACCAATCAAATCAATCAATCTAAATTCCTGCTTGAAGTCTCTCCATCCCGCCTTGTTTATCGACCCAATCCTGCACTTTATAAGAGATGGTTGCCTGAAAATTTTAGTGTCTGTGTCAAGGACAATTGAGGGTATAACAACTGATCGGGTGAATTCCAGATCAGCTTTCTTCTGCGACCACCACCTCCAACACCAAGAGGTCAAAACTGTGCAGTAAATTTGTGTTCTTCCATGAGACAAAATGGATCTTTTGACCTACATCAAGTGCTACCCACCATGGTTTTGGGTTAGAAAATTGTTCATCTATGTCAGAGTATCTCCACCTGCTCTCGAGAGTCTTTTAATCTATACGGAATGCATCACCTTGTTGCCTCAGCGTTCCAACTATTACTGAAGGAAAGATTATCATGAAAGCCATGAACAGGGTGAACTGCAGAAGAAAAAAAAGGACAAGTTAGGATTTGGATGGTATGCGAGAGAAGCTATGATAAAGTACAGAAGGTTTAGGGGCATCTGAGATTTGTACCAGAAGAGGAATTGTCAAGAAACTCCATATTGGCCACAAAGCCACACTGAACCTATATGAGTAAGAAGTTGGATAAACAGGATGAGTGGTCTGATGGTAATAAATGAGAATCATTGAAGAGATGATCAGATGTTAAATAAGTTCTTACAAGCAGAAGGAGACGAGTCCCAATACAGTAACCCATGGTAAAGCAGATAAGCTCGACAATTCCCATTTCTCGTCAAATCTTCTGTCGCTCCAAGCAAACAAACTTGTGTACAAAAATATAAGTACATTGAAACCAACACCTGCCATCCCGAAGTACAAGGGCATTCTGCATGGAATTTCAGCAATGATAGATACCGTAAGTGAACTTTTCAACGTGGGAGCATCAAGTTATTTTCATATCCTGGTCACATGGCCAGCCATTTACACTAGTAACTGATACAGCAAGATGAACAACAGCTTCTAGAACGAAAAAGGCAGATGCATGCATAAAGCACATAAAATCTGGGTTTAGACCTGGTTTGAATATGAACTACACTTTTCAATACATGCCATGGTGAGAGCAAGTGATATCATCAGCTTACTAGAGGAGTTTATGACAAGCAGATACAAAAGAACACTTTACCAGCCCGACATATTGGAAGACTTTATTTAAAGTGACTGAAGGGGTGAATCTAACGTCACATAGATATAAAAGATTTCCATGTGAAGAGCCCCCCACAAGTAAGAACAACCAAATCACACAGCAAACTGCAGCTTATTTTTCGCTTCACAGCAAAACTGAAAAATGAATCTAGGCACTCGCATCAAGCTAATAATGGAATGCCACAAGAAGTAAAATTTAACATTGAGTGGAAAACTTGATCACCAATTCAATGTACATACTTCAACGTGTTACAGCTGGTAACTAGCTGAGGTTAAAGTCACCAAAATGAGAATAGGATATGACAGAAAGAAACTAGGATGAATAGCCGAGATATCGTAAAATTATCCCAATAGCACGCTGGAAATTAAAGCCTTAACAGCAGATGACTTCTGCATTTGATTCCCCTAGACAGATTCTTCAGCTGATAACTTGACTACTATAGAAATGAAGGTCATTGCTAAGGTTGGCAAAACAAAGCTAGTTAATAGAATAAGTAAAACGGGAAATGATAATAATGACTCAGCATCTCAGTGTCATTCAAACTGTGTTTGGATTCCCTTTGTCGGTCCTTTTGAATCCTATTGTGGAAATCTAAGAAATGAAGCAAATGACTATGCACCTGAGGACTCCTGTTCCTCTCCCATCCACGGTACGTTTTCCATATATTATTGGGCAAGCCCACTTTGCACTTTGCACATTGGATATGTGTGCGTCATATAAGTACGCCAGTTTCTATTTCAAAGACTCGATTAACATGCAAGAAACCTCTCAGAAACAATTGTTGCGACCGCTTTAATTTTGGCACTAGGAATACTAACTGCCACAGTATAAATAGGGCACACTATTCTTATCCCCATGGATCATATAACCCATTTCAGAACCTCAGCAACAAAGTTAACTCTAGCCCGCTCTTCCACACCAGCACTACAGATATTGGCTGCCACAATGTAAATAGGGGCACACTATTCTTTTCCCCATAGTTACAGGTAGCAGGATTAGACCACTAGACAAGCACAAGTGCCATCCATAAATAAAATTGGAATGCCATTTCTTCCGAATATAGAGCTTTTTTCAGAGAACAACACATGTTATCAGCAGTTTCAGTGACCAAAGAATAACCAAGAAACATGAAAATGAGATCATTCATATCCAGGAACAGAACGCACCCATAATTATAGAAACAGTTATCTAGGGTATCCACCTACCATCCTAATAGTCTTTGCTATCATTCAAGTTCAATATTTGAGATAGTACCAACTATACCACAAATTATATCAAACCGTGAGAAGAGAAACAGAACAAACTGAGCTGCTTACCTTCTTATCCTACCATCGTGCCACAGTAGATATATCAAATTGGAATGTCTGTCCCCATAGTAAACGATGAAAAGGGATGAAGCAATCCAGAGCAGATTCTCCAAAATCTCTACCCAAGACCTAACTCTGGGAGGAGTTGGAGAGAAGTGCTGTTGTGGTCTTGAGCAAGCATCATCCTCCAAATCATCACCACTCGATCCATATCCTCCTTGGCTATGTCTCTGCCTCACATACCCACCTCTCGGCGTCCCCCCAGACATTCTCCCCACTCTAGCAATCTCCCTCCCCAAGATCAATACAAATCCAACCCCAAAACCAAAATCCGAATTAAACCCTCTTCCTCAAGTCCCAAAACCCACCACGGCAACCACTCCCGCAAATCAACAATCCATCATTCCATGAGCAGAAGAGAAAACCAGCTACTACATCTAATAGTGGGACGTGAACTGCCTGCCGTGCCCGGACTCAACTTCAACAAAGTCCACACACTACCATCCAATGATTGCACAGCGAAAAAAATCAAAACCCTCCTTAATAAGAGAAATCGGATTCCAACCCAGCTAGGAAAATGAAAGCCGCTGTCGAATCAGGGGGGCGTGAAAAGAGAAACGAAGGGGCAATCTCAAGACAAACCCATCACGATCGCCCACATGTTCCTGCTCCTCGAATACCCACCAAGGTAAAGCGAGAGGAAAGAAAGGGAAAGAAGACCCCCACCAATTTCCAATTGGGATAAACCTCGCGCGGAAGGACTCTTGAGACTGACACTCTTTGTCTTCCCTCCCTCCAAGTTTAGTAAAGCCCGTTCGGCGCCCAATGCCAAGGAAGCAAAGACGGCGAACGGGGGGGAGAGAGCTCAGAAGGAGCTGGAAATGGGGAGGAAGGCAGCGACGAGGAAGGGTGGAATTTGGGCAGGGATGGGGGAGGAGAAGAAGACTGAAGAAGGAAGAAGGAAGAAGGAAGAAGGCCGAAGGGAGAGGGAGTTTACAGTTGGATTGGTATTTTTGATGGTTGTTTATTTTTTTCCGTCTTTCTTCCTTATTCTCTCTGCGCTTGTTGTGGCGTGGGCGTGAGACAGAGAGAGCAGTGTGTCACGAAAGGGATCTGTTGTTTAACGGAAACTGGGAGAGGAAAATTTGCTTTATTTGATTTTTCTCACAAATGGGAAATTCCAGCTAAAAATAGGGTCAATTGCATAAATGGTCACTGAATTTTGATGTTATAAAAAAGCTGTCACTACTGTACATGAATCTAAGAAATAGTGAGAATTCTTGATCTCTCTCAATTTGGGATTTAATTCTTTATAATATCTATTACTGAAATTCGGAATAACTAGCGTAATAATTATGTCTCATTTCCGTGTCTAAGTTATAGGTTAACTCTGTTCAAAATTAGTGTGTTAACTCCCACGTTAATAATAATCAAGGATAAGATTAAAAATCCTAGTATAAGATCCAATTTTACATCACACTAAATCGTTACCAAATTGTCTGTATCGACAATTGTTTGTTTTGTTAGTTCTTTTAAATTCTAGTGAGAAACATTCATTACAAATCAATATCTGGCGATCGATTTGTTAATAAATCCAAAGTTTATCGACGGTTTAATGAAAATAGTTCCACCTAGTTTATATAAACAAATAAATAATCATAGGATTAGAATCTAATTCAAGAAAAGTTGTAGATTTTGGTTAATATTTTTTGGTACAGCTGACTACAAATTTTTGCTTGTTATATAATAATAATTGAGATTTTCTTAATTAATTCCCTCCTCCTAATCAAACCCCTTTCCGCCCTGATTTGTCATATTGGTTATACGCTAGTGTGATTGTAATCAATAATCATTAAACTAATCTTTCGCCAGCAACTTCCATTGGAAGAGATGATGTAAATCTACCCAAAAAGAAAGAGAGAGATGTATAATTAGTTTCTGTTTTCGTACTATTAGGGTTTCGATGTGTTGTTAATTTTGATTATTATCAAGTAATTAATGACTAAACCATTGCCTGTTGATTTGTTTTAAATTTTTAATGACTAAAGTGTTCATTTCGTGCGGGTGTTGCATTTGAGGCGAATGTGTGTATGAGTGTATCTCTCTCTCTGATGTGATTCATTTTATTGGGCGCGGGGAAAGTCAAAGTCCAGCTTTAGGTAATGACCAAACTAAATAACGACGACTTTCTCTTTTGTTAAATAATGCAAAATTACTTTTGATTTATCAACCAGATCTAGTTCATATGCTCTTCGCTTCAAGATTCAGTCATCTAGACAATCAAGTAATCTTTCCTGTAAACACAGAACCATTGCAATTCAATAACCAAGTAGAATGATTCTGAAAAGACAATATGGATAAGATTAAGGACAGTGTTAATGTACAAAGTACCTTCCCTGTGCTTACATGACTACTGCATTACAGAAGAAAATTACAGGGGGATCTCTTAGATGATAAGAACCATGTCAACGGCCTCCGCCGCCGCTGCACAAACTGACTAGATCCATCAGGGTTGAATACAACACATCCAAGGTAAGATACCCCAAGAACTTCCGGTAATCGGACGATCCATCTACATCAGCATCGGCATAGAGTTTCCTCTCTTCTGCAAAGCTTTCATCCATGACCAGCCACCAAGATATGCATCCCTGAGTGTCTTCTGGGTCTACGTGGGCCACCAGGCTGAGTAGCTCGCCTTGATCCAGCTCGAAAGACAAGCACAGGAAATCCCGACTTGCCTTCATGCCCACCCCGAGAGCCTCCTCGTGCAGCCAACGGATAACCTGGCTTGCAACCTGCGAGAGGGGGACAAACCACATTAGAAGATCACATAACAGAAAGGGTGTGTTTGTTTGGTCTTAAAATAAAGTTCCTTTAAGAAAACGTCAAATGTGTTATCAAAATGAACACACTGGGTACCTGCTGTAGAATTGTGACGGGAAGATCGACCAAATCACAATCATATTTGTTGGTCACGCATCTGTCTTTAGAACTTCCGTTGAAGAGGCCAACAACGTTGGGAGCACCTTCTGCTTCGATGTGGATGTGATCATCGTTCACCATAACCTTGTTCCGGAACTCTGATTTAATAACAGTATTCTTCATGCCTTGGATGTCCGAGGACTGTGATTGAGAATTGGCATTGAGAATGGTTGGTGGTACTCTCATCAAGATTGTCCAGGAAGATGACCTGGAATGCCAAGTGGGATGAGATATCAAATGGAGATACGGGACTCTGCAAACCTGGCGGCAACAGAAGATGAATTTTTTTCAGAAAAGAGCACAGCCTGTTTAGGACATCAATAAGTAGGATGAAACTATCAACAAGACCAGAAAGGTACCACTTTTTCTAGCTCCATAAGAACTTTGTTTGAAAGTATTCTATGAGCCAGAGATAAGCAGAAGTGACCAAGAAGACTGGGCCCATCCTTCACTCGGGGTGTAGGTACGCGAGTGCCTGTAGAAACGGGTTTCTCCTTTGCTTTTACGAGAAAATTCTCATGAAATATCTGGCGAAGGAATATTTCATAACTAGTAGAATTGGGAAAGCCCAAGTGCTTCATAATGTTTTCATCCTCCACTGAATCCAGAGGTAAGGTTGCAGATTCCAAATCCTGGGGGATTCTACCATCGACAGTTGTTGATTCATCCTGGTCACAAGGAGTAACAGATACAAACACAGAGGTTCCTGGACCAATGCTCAGTTGTAGATAGTTTTCTCGGATTCCAGTAATGTTGACTCCTAAAGATTGGTTAACTGCTTCACGGTTCACTATATCAAATACCTGAAACCAAAAGAAAAAAGAAGAATGTAAGACTATAAGAATTAAAGGGAATCATCACCACATAACACAATTGGGAAACAGAAATAGTCGACCTGCTCGTCAAAGATTGCTTGATGAACTTCACGGAGCAGGGAATGTGTTTCTTTCACACTTCCATTATCATCTAGAGATTCTTTCTCGGTTCCTTTTGATATATGCTCAATTGACGAATTGGTTCTGATTTTACTGGCTGTCTTACTACGACTTTTATTGGAGTGTAAACCTAGAAACCCAAAGTGAAGCGAATGAAGAGACTTTGGAGGCAAATTTATGGCAAGCATGCCAGCTGGGTCGTGTTCAATCCGAATGGTACAAAGAGAGGTCGGTCGAACAGCTGTTGGGTCGTATAATGAGTTGTCGTACAGGTCAAATGTGAACCCTTCATTGGCCGGGGCAAGTGCAGCCAGTCTCTGGCGTTTAACTTTCCAGTTCTGCTGCAATCTGTTAGCTTGTCAGTACTACATCTTCTATGCACATACATTCCTATACATAAATAATTACAAGGGTACTGTAGACCTAACAAGTTTAATTGACAAAAAGACTTCTTAAGTTATACAGAAGAGCTAATTATCTGCGCCAGCAGGATGCTCTATGGTCATCTAAGTAACTCAATGACGTAAAAATCATGATGCAGATATCACACACCTGATCAAAGCACCATAAAATCTTGCTTCTCTGGCCACTTGAAGATCCAAAGCTTTGGCAGACTGCTTAAAGTATTTACCAAGTTGCTGCAATTGAAACGAACTGTAATGTCAGCAACTGGTGCTATGAACAGGCAAGGGGGAAATGTCAGATGGAAATCGTTAAGTACCCGGTAGCATTGTAGCTTGGTTGCAGTGGAAACAGCATGATCAGCCAGCTGCTCCTCAGCTAACGGTTTTGGTCTGCTCATACTAGCAACTGTTACAGCATCATTAGCTTCCAACTACACAAAAACCAAAAGGAAAATTCACTGACTTCAGCTTCACCCCATTCTTATAGTTCCCCATTAAGCATTCAAAACCTCATTGTTCATCCACATTGCTTCTCTCAATATAAACCAAAAGTTCACCATTCACTCAATTACTACCAAACTCTCTATCACCAAGTTCCACAAACATCAAAAGCCACGAATAACTATAGAAACGAATAATGAATAGGGAAAATTGACTAAGGAGGAAATGAGAGATTGAAAGAGAGTCACAGTGTTGATGAGATCGATAATGACAGAGAGCTCCTGGTGAGCCAACTGCAAGTTCTCCACCATCCCCTGCCATGGCCATTGCGTCCCCGAGGTGCTCTCCTTGGAACTCTTCTTCTGCTTCTTCTTCCTCTCGTCGTCATCTTCCTCTCTCTCCAACGCCCACGCAAAATCTATCCTCCGAATCAGAGAAACTCGCTTCTCGTCGTACCCAACATCACTGCAACCAAAAAAAAAAAAAAAAACAGATACAATCAGCTGCCCACTCAAAATGGCATCACTAATTCCCAATTCATCGTCAGCTAGAGAAGCCGAAGGAAAGAACAGGCATTAGGTCAACAGGAAAGGCATTCGGCTTCCCAGGCTTTGGAGTGTATAGTAGATTGAAAACGAGACTGAGGAAGAAGGAGAAAGACGTGTACGTCGGAAAGCGCTCGGCGCCATTTTCCTCGATGGCCTCCAGGCGCTTGACCGGGAGCTTGTCGATCGAAATTTCTAAATTTCCGTCCATTTTTCTCTGACGAGATTTTCCGGGGAAAGATTGAGTGGGGAGGAAAAAGACGGTTTCTCGGCCTTTTGGAGGAGTTGGAGTCCAGCCGTCAGCATTTTGGTAGATTTAATCCGGCCTGGTTTAATTTGTGCTCGACGGCCCAAATTGTAACCCCCATCAGGCCCACAAATGCAGTGCTGTAATTTCCTTCACATGCACGTATGGTACGGACGGAATGGAGGGGACTTTCCACGTACTCAAATATAATCCAGATGATTATAACGTGTTTGGCTGCGTACTTAACTTAAAGAAAGAAAATATGGATGAATTAATGCTTTGTTTTCCATCCTTCTTAAGAAAAACGATTAATTATAAGCAACTGTTGGAAAACGTAGGCTTTTAAAATTGACAAAAGATTTTGATTCCCCTTCTCCTCTCTCTCGTAGCTTGCTTGTGGAGAGGCATATATTAACATGGCAGTGAGGCAACAAATTTTGAAGAATTGCTAAACCGCACATATCGGAAAAATTCGTAGTAAGATATAACCACTAAAACCCGTAAAATCTATAGGATATTCTTACTGTTGAATCGTTGGTATGATATGTTTTTATAAAGCATAGGAATGAATACTGCACACCTCCAGATGTGTATCAAAAACTTTTGAATGCACACCAAAATCATGTGAATAATGCACATCTGAATTCTTAGAATGCATAGAATAAAAATCTCTGAATCCATACGAGAAACCGGTAATACCAACAAAAAAATATATCAGCAAAAATATTCAAGAAGGAATATCATTTCATAACCCACATTTGTTTTTATAATCAACCTGAGCTTTTATTTAAGAGCTTCTGTTGCCATTACAATCGTTTGCAAGTGCTGAAAGAAGAAAAACAGGGGGTCTAGTAACCCATTCATCGCATGCTTCCCAGTTGCAATTTGTATGGGCCGTTAAGTGGGCCGCTGAGTTTGCTTGCCTCCTAGTGAAAGCCCATCGAACCTTATCTTCTCCAATCTCAGCTGCCAGCCCTTCTATCTCATCCACAATCAACCCCACCTCTGTCAATCTTCGATCCTCATTTCCAATTTGCGAGAAAAGTCCCTGGCAGTCAGTCTCTACAATGGCTGGGAGAAATTGATGGTGAATGTCAGTGAGAAGACCAAACAGGAGCGCTTTGGCCTCGGCGTGCTCTGGTGTCCATTGAATTCGCTTTCTGGTAACAGCCGCCAAGACGAAAACGCCCGTTGCATCCCTTACCACCATACCCAGTCCCGTGCCCTCGTTCGCCAACACAGCTGCATCCACGTTCACTTTGTACCATCCCTCCGGCAGCGGCGTCCAGGTAATTCGCTCGCTCCTTCTGGGTCCTTCTTCCCTCTCTCTATGTGATTGGAATTCTTCCAATAGATCAAGAGCCCGGGGAACAATCTCCCAATCTTCTAGTTTGTGGTTGTTGAACATGTGATTGTTCCTTTCGCTCCATAACTTCCATAGAATCATTCCCAGCCTGCTTAGCACCTCGTCATCTACTCTTTCCATTATTTCACAAAGCCAGCTGCCACTTGATAACTCTTCCCCTTATTCGAACAGTGACCTGTATTCAGTGGGTCTCCAAATCCTGGTCGCCCAAGAACATTCCCTGAAAATGTGATTCTGTGTCTCGACCTGATTGCAATATGGGCATTCGACTGAAGCCTCCTTCTTTCTTCCTTCAATATTTTTCCCTGTTGGCAATATATCATGAGTGAAACGCCATAGGAATAGTTTCACCTTTGGGGGAATGTTTAAGCCCCACAATCGTTTCCAATTCATGGGGTCATAGGTTTCCCCTGCCAATTCCTCAGTCTCGTTTCCTTCCTCCTCATCATTTGCCTTCTTCCTCTATAATTTGTAGGCAGACTTAACCGTATAAATACCTGACTTCTCCTCGCTCCATATTCGTCTATCTATTGATGGCTGTCTTGGAATGGGAATGCCTTCAATTCGATTCTGATCAGTAATGTTGAAGTGAAGTTGGAGTAGGGGTCGTTTCCACGTTCTGGTTTCATGATCAATCAAATCCCTCACCTGATTGCCCTCGTCCAGATCCACCCTCGGTGAGATCACCCGAAAATCATCCTCCTCACCTCCTGGAATCCATTTGTCCTCCCATATATTAATATTAGATCCATTGCCAAGTCTCCATCATAAACCTGCTTTACTAGATTCTTTGCAGCCATCAAACTGCGCCAGGTGTAACTCGCAACCAGGGAATCCAGATTTTTCATTAGATTCCAGACTTGCTTCCCAAGTAGAGCTAGGTTGAAGCCACCTAAGTCTCTGAAACCAATACCCCCTTCTTCTTTGGGTCTGCACAATTTCTTCCAAGCTTTCCACGAAATTCGTTTTTCCTCCCCCTTTTGTCCCCACCAGAACGTCGAGATCACTCTTCTGATCTCATCTAGCACCCCATCTGGCACTCGGAAGACAGACATGGTATAAGTGGCTTGAGATTGAGCCACTGATTTTATTAGCACTTCCTTTGCTGCTATTGAGAGTGTCAGGCTTTTCCAGTGCTTAACTTTCTTCCTAACTCTGTCGACCAACACTCCAAACGCTGCTTTCTTTTGTCTACCAATTCTCGTGGGCAGCCTTAGGTATTTTGTATGTTCTTCAACTCTTCTCATCCCTAGGATATTACCCAACTCAGTTGCCTTCTCTTCTCCAACACTCGGGGAGAAGCTGATTTCAGATTTTTGTAGATTGATCTTCTGACCTGATTCCACTTCATAGATCTTTAGGATTTCCTTTATTCTTCCACATTCAGTGGTTGTAGCTCTTGCAAACAGAACGCTATCATCTGCAAAGAGCAGATGGGAGATGGCTGGACCCCTATTTGAGACTTTGAGTCCATAAATTGCTCCCATGTTTGCTTCTTGTTGAAGTAAAGCTGACAGACCCTCTGCACATAGCAGAAACAGGTATGGTGACAAAGGGTCACCCTGCATGAGACCTCTGCTTGGTATGAATTCCATCGATCTGTGTCCATTTACCAAGATAGAGTAAGTTACTGTGCTAACATAGTGCAGGATCAGATTCACCCACCTCTCATTAAAACCCATCTTCGTCATTATTTCTTCTAGGAATTTCCACTCCACCCTGTCGTAGGCCTTTGATATGTCTAGTTTTGCGGCCATGACACTTGTTTTAGCCTTCTTCTTATTCTTGATCGCATGGAAACATTCGAAGTCTATCAATACATTGTCCAAAATGTTCCTTTTTGGGACGAACGCGCTCTGATTCTCCCCTATCACTTTAGGGAGAATCCGCTTCAGCCTGTTTGGCAGAACCTTAGCCATGATCTTATACAGAACTTGGCAAAGGCTTATAGGGCGAAATTCTGAGGGCTTCTCTGGTTTTTTTGTCTTTGGGATAAGAGCAATCAGAGTATAATTTAGTTGCTCTGGGAAACTTCCCATCTCTAAGTAGTTTGTCAAAGCCCTCGTTACCTCAGGCCCTACCACTCCCCAATTATGTTGGAAGAAAAACGCTGGCATTCCATCTGGCCTTGGGGCCTTCGTTGGTCCCATCATCTTTAGAGCTTCCCATATCTCATCTCCATTGAAAGGCCTCATCAATTCTTGATTCATCAAAGGAGTAACCCTCTGATCAACTGCCGATAGAATCTGGCTTGTTGTGGGGAGTTCCCCTGATGTAAATAATTCCTTGTAGTAATCCAGTAAACAATTTCCCACCCCTTCTTGACCTGTCCAGGCTCTTCCTGATTCATCCAAAAGTCGCTTTATGGTGTTTCTTTTCCTTCTTTCTGAGGCCTTTCTATGAAAAAAGCCTGTAGTGCTGTCACCTTCCTTCAACCAATCCGCTCTCGATCTTTGTCTCCACTTGCATTCCTCCTGGTAGAGAACATCATCCAGTTCTCTTTCTAATAATCTCCTTCGCTCCAGCATGGATTTTGTTCTTCTTCCTCAGTTTAACTTCTTAAGCACGTGATAGACCGATAATTACACATGTTTTCACCCCTATTCTGAAGCCGTTTGTGATGTGGAATCTCGTGTTTTAAGCCGATTTCACGCTAGGTTGTGTATTTCTGTCATATTTCAGGACCCGGCGTTGGAATCGAGGCGGAGAAACGAGTTCTGGGTCGAAAGGAGCCGAGTTGGGACTAAGGGGGCTGCAGGAAGAAAATACCCGGTCAGGTGGCAAAATACCCGACCGGGTATTTATCAATTTGGGCACCCGTGAGAAACAGAAGGGGGCCCGGGCAAATGGCTAAAATCCCTGGTCGGGGATTATAGAGTCAGACCGGGGATTTTCCCCAGGATGAAACGGCGCGTTTTGTATATACCCGGTCGAAACCCGAAATACCCGACCGGGTATTTCGACCGGGTATCGCGATCTGGCAGTGGATAAAAGGAAAAGAAGACCAACTTTCAAGGGTTCCGAGTTTTTGAGAGAGAAAGCGATTCCTAGAGAGAGAAAGCGACGAACCAGAGTTCCCAAGTGCCATAGCTTGATCTTCATCACCATTGGAGCCCGGCTTGAGCTTGGAGAAGTGCCGATTAAACGTCCAGGAGCAGAAATCCGTCTTCATAGTATGATTTCCGCGTCTGAATCTGCTTTTGCTTCTTTCTCTATGGAGTAGTTCCCCCATTCATCTGGGTATGGGGAACCCTAGATTTGTATGCTAGGTCTGATTGTATGAACCCAAGTACAGAGTTTGTGAATTGATTATATTCGATTGAGGTTTGAATGATTGAATGGCATGAATCCTGATCAAATTCCTGTTGTTTCTGCTTTAACCTAGAATGAGAATATCTGCCTAGGTTGATAGAGCATCCTTAATTGAAGGTAGCGAATTGGTGACTTTAGTCGAGGAGCCAATTCGCTATTCTGTACCGAAGTCAATTCGGTAGTGGAGGTTTGGTTCGTTAGGGCCTCAATCTGTTTACTCCGGTGGAGGTTAGTCACCCGCTAGAGACTCAGATTGAGAGGGTCTGAAGACCTTTAGTCGAGACTTCGGTTTAAGAACCTTCCGCAGTATAACTTTCATAAAAACTGAACTTGGTAAATTGCAATCCGGCTTAACTGCAGTCTAGGGGGA